ATCACAGTGCAAAACAAACTTGGTCTGCAGAATCTATGAGATCCCATTCTAAAATAAATAGCAAAAAGCCACACCAGAGGTGTGGCAGAACATCAGCAGGAATAATCCAGCAAATAGCATAAGAACCCTGAGTTCAAATCCTGGTACTGGCACTTCCCAAAAAATGTCATAGGTAATATAGAGAAGCCAAGTGAATAATGAATATGATATAAATCTGTAAAACCATGGCCTCTCTGTACTCTATTCTCTCTTTTTATTTATTTATTTTACAGAAAGAGGAATTGAACAATTATTCTTCTTAACTAAAGTTTAATTTTCTATTTTTGGGGGAGGGATATCAGTATTGGGGATGGAATTGAGGGCCTTATAGTCTCCCTCACAGCTAGTGACAATCTGCTCACAGCTGGTGCCATACCACCTGAGCCTCACCTCCAGTCTATTAACTGCACTCTTAGACAAACACCAGGGCAGATTCTTTGGGAGAGATCATGGCAAACTTGAGAGAGCAATGTTCAGTCAGCTGATTATTTCCATGGAAAAGGAGAACCCCAATATTTCCAAAAATTTATTTTTAATAAGCAAGTTAAATTGGTGGACTGAATCTTGCCCTTGGGCTTCTAATTTGGAACCTTTTATGCAATAGTTTAAAATGTGGGCTGAATGCCAAACAGATCTGAAGGGAGCTTCTGTGCTGACTGTTTAATGACTTTGTGACCTTTAATATTAAATTCCATTTCATTTTCAGTGAAAAAGGAGTTAATGGTAGTAGCTGGATTATAACTTATAAAAGATTAAATTATAAAAGGTATACCTTGTTATAATAGCAAGTTTTCAATAAATGGTAGACATTGCCTAGATGAAGATAGAGAAACAGTTGGGAGCTGGTAGCTCATGCCTGTAATCCTAGCTATGCAGGAGGCTGATATATAATACTCAAAGTCAGATAGGGCAGGAAAAAAGACACATCTCCAATTGATAACAAAAAAGCCAGAATGGAGCTGTGGCTCAAGTGATAGAGTGATAGCCTTGAACACAAAAAGCTCAGGGATAATTCCCAGGCTTTCAGTTCAAGCACCAGTACCATCACTAAATACATAGACAGACAGAAAGACAGACTGGCAGACAGACAGATTGAAAGTTTTCAAGTTAGAGAAATAGAGGCATGTAATTTGAAAAGGATCTCTGTAGCTTGACGAATGATATACAGATACATGAAAACTCAGGATTCCTAATTCCTAATGTACCCAGCTATCTTCCTAAATATTGACCATTAAAATTATATTTTAATTGTAATTCTAATTGAAATTTGAAATAGGCTTTATCTTATAATAGTGTTACTACCTCCGCCTGTTTATGAGGGCCACTTTTTTGGAAGACTTTGTTCTAGACTTTCACTTGAATAGCTAATATTTGGAAGCCTCAAGGCCATAATTAATGAAAGATGAGGAAAGATAGAGAAATTGTTGCAGATTAGGTAAGCTAAGTAGACAGAATAACTAAGCAGGCTAGATTATATTTTGTGATGGAAATAGAGTATTAGTGAAAATGCTGTTGAGTATTAATAAAGCCAATGACCTAAAGCAGTTTAGTTTAAAGCATTACACCTCTTGGTAGTTACACTAAGGTTCTGTGGGTTTTCAGCCTTAGGAGATACTGATAAATGACAGGTAGCTCTTTGAAATATTTTTGTAATTATTCTATACATCTAAAATTATCTCAAAATAGAAAGTCAAGGAACTGTATTTCCCCAAAGTCTCTTAAGTAGACTATAGGTACTGTTAGTGGTTTGGGAGGGCACAAACTTCACGAATTTGAAATGTATTATGATATTGAAGTTAGTTGTCATGATCCTTACAGAAATCCTTTTACTCTCTCACTGTACATTCTTCAAAGCACACCTATGCCTCAAACTTGGAACCAGTCATTTAGTAGCTGGTGGCCTACCACAACCAGTAAGTATACATTCAAGTTGTTGATGTTTTGTTGCCTGTATTTATTGAATTAGCATTTTTGTGGTTATCTTTGTGTTATAGCATACATTCTTCTCACAGCCATACATCAATAGCTTCAGAGATTTGTAGGGGTATAAAATTTGAGACAGAAATGTTAATGAATTAGCTCTGAATTGCCAACACAAATGTAAACTGAGAAGAGTAATCCATTAAAAGGAGAAATTGCAAGTATGTACTATTGAAAAGCTGAGTTTAAGTGATTTGTTACATAGGTATGTTGTTTGAGAAGAAACTTTGTAAAAAGTAGCTGCAATAATAATGACGTTTTCTTCAATGTCATTTCCACAGAATGTTTCAGGACATATTTTGTAAAACTAAGGGTATGGATTAAAAAAAATGACTACCACAGACCTTGTATCCAGAAACCTAGACTTAGTTGTGTAAACTTGGAAAATAAGTTAAATTCTAAAAGTTTTAATTTTCTCACTAGAAAGTTGGGGTAAGAAAATACTTAAATCACAGCAGTAGTGAAAATTAAAAATAAATAATACTTAGAACAAATATGAAAGTTTCATTAAGTGTCTTACAAGAAGAAATATTGTTATTGCTTTTATTGTTATTGCTCCTGTATTATTGTGACATATTGGAAAAATTACCTGTAACAATGTGCATTATAAAAGAATTGAAAAATTATATTTTAACATTCAAGCAAATTAATGATGGGACTCTAATTTCCTTAACTTCTTTACTAATTGACACAATAAAAATAATATTATCACAGATAAAACTCTTCTATAGTTACAATTCCTCATAAAAGCTGTATCCAAGTATTTTGCTATAGGCTAACACAGAAATAAAGGTTAGTATTTGTTCTTTGGGGATTTCAAACAAAATCCTCTCATCCTAAGCATTCACATTTTGTAAGGGAAAAATCCATTAAATAATTCTCTCAATCTTTGCTACTCATTAGGCTAAAATCTGAGGACCAACTTTGAAGCCAGCACAGGCAGATAAAACTGTGAAACTGTTTTCTCCCATTAACCTGCACGGGAAATGAGGATCTGACTAAAGTGGTGAAATACCAGCCATGAGACAAAAACTTATAGTATAGCACCAAGGCCCTGAGTTAAGCCCCAGTACCCAGTAAACACACACACAAACACACACACACACACACACACACACACAATTCTCTCTACAAAATCAGTATGAGCAAGGTTATTTTTCATAAATGATTGGGTCTCTTTTTAGCTACTTTTACAGAATGGTAAGAAAAATGTTTTTGATGTTGAGAGTTAGATGTTTGGGTGTCACTGGAATATTTGATTAGCTCCTTCAGACTAAGCCAGATCAGCACAGTGTTGTGAGTTCTCACCACATCACCAAGCCTTGTTTCCAAATCTTCTCCTATTCACACCTGAGATCCACCCACTGTTGTTCATCAGATGACATCCTAGGAAATTTGTTAATTGTCAATTGTTAATAATCTCCTCCCTTGCCAGGATGTGTCCTAATCTTAAAAGTTGGAAATTTTCCACCAATACCTTGTCCTGCAGTCAAATAATAACCACTGTGATGGTCATAGTTGATGGAGCCACAATCTGAGCTCAACATTATCTAATACTCAGTTTCATTTAAACCCTACCATAGTTCTATGAAGTAGATTCCTAAGTACACTCAAGAATCTCGTTTGTAAAATTATGCTGAGCGAAGTCCAATACTTTGCCTACAAAGTGTCAGAGTCAGAATTTTGTCCAATTCCCAAGGCTATACTAGATTAGTTCTAAATTCTTGGCAGAAAAGTATAGCAAAATGAATTAGACACATGGAAAAACTGCTGGTGTTCAACTTGCTAATGAGATAGGAGCTGAAACATTGGGATGGAGGAAATGATATGAGGTATTAGAGATATATCAGGCAGGAAAATTGAAAATGACTTGATTTCTGAATTCACTGGAGATTTCACATAAGACATACCTCTCCAACTGTGCTTGTTTTTAACCAGTGGCATGTTAAAATCCTAACATACAAAACCAGACAAGTCCAGAAAAATGATCTTTCCCATTTCCTATAATTCATCTCAGCACAACAGGTTTCATCCATAGTTTCTCCCTTTCATGAGTTTGGGTTGTCATTATTATGTATTATGTGTTATGTATTAGAGTTAGTGAGGATTGACTATTTCCATGGCATTTAAAAGGGGAGGGCCGAGAGGATCGCTACAGAGAAATGTGAACTAAAAGTTGCTAAAAAGCTACTATGTAACTAGAATCAAGTTTTCCACAGATCATGGAAAGACATTTGGCGCATCACTATTTCAAGAGCAATTTAGGCTTCACTCAGTTAAATAGTCATAATTATTTTAATGTAAAATATTTCAAACTGACTATTCTCTAAACCTTCAAATAGTTCTCAATAATGTGTGACCAATTTGTAAAGCAAGATAAAATATCCCAAAAGATTTATATTTATACTCTACAATGATATAATTCTGAGACGAAAAGGAATGACATCTATCCCATGGATGAACACAAGCTAATTAAGATAAGCCATACTTTCAAGATATTTCTTGGGATTAAGATGGTGGTTTCCTTCTTCAGAAACTGTCATCTCTTTTTCAAGCAGGCAAACTATTGACAGATCTTGGGTGGCTCATTCACCAGGCTCCCATAACATAAAGCTGATGAAATGCATTTTCCCTCAGGCCAAGAATGGAAGATCTATGGCCTATGTCATCTGTTTCTGTGAATACCAAAGATTACAATTATGTTTTGATGTTAATTCAACAACTACAAATTTCTGGTTGCAAAGCATACTGTGAAAATGTGAGTGACAGCATAAATCTTTTCCAAATTGAATTCGACACAATTGGAAAGAGCTGATGTTTTCAAATACTGTTAAAAATCTCTGAACAAGAATAACTCTCTCATTGAAGCCACTTTCTAGAATGACCTGTTTAATATGACAGACCAAAAGCCATAATGAAATTGAATTCCTCCCAACTGCTTCACTGCCTATGACTGTGTTACATTGCTTAGAAACAATCACCTCCAAGGCCTTCTTGTCCTCATACACGAACTGCACAGTGGGAATTCCAAGATTGTTGATGAAGTACTGGGCATCACCTTGGATCTGTACAGAACTGACATTGTTCTCCCAGCAATGTGCTCTTCTGGTACAGTTGAACTTAATTTTCTGAAAAAAATTAAATGTTTAATGGGTATTATGTTTTGCAGGCAATCTCTAAGTCATTGCTGCTCTATATGGTCCATGGTTCAGAGCATTAGTGTAGCAGGGGAGTGTAATACTTAAAACCAACATTCAGAACTAACCTGTAATAGCACTCAGGCATTTATCCACAGGAGAATAAGTCAGAAAATGATAGAAACAATGTATCATACTCTTTACAGTGTCCAAGCTTTACAAAGAGCCCGGATGAGCCACAACTGGGTAATGTATCAAGAATGGGTCATATACACACATATAAATTTTTGTATGTATATACACATAATATATGCTACATATATTATTACATAACATGCACACACAAAAATGGAATATTATTAACCAAGAAAGAATAAAATATAAAACAGATGGGTCTGCCATCCATTACATTATATGGAATATATTATATGGAATCCACTATAGTAAGCAAAGTAAGCCAGATTCAGAAAGAATTTTTTCTTTTTGGTTGGTCCAGGGGCTTAAACTCTGGGTTTGGGCACTGTGCCTATGCTCTTCATCTCAAGACAAGCTCTCTACTGCTTGAGCCACAGTGCCACTTCCGGTTTTCTAGGGGTTTATTGGAGATAAGAGTCTCAGGGAGTTTCCTGCCTGGGCTGGCTCAGCCTCCTGAGTAGCTAGGATTACAGGCCTGAGCCACTGGTGCTCAGCAGAAAGAAAATATTGTAGGTGTTTTCTTGTTTAGAAACACTAAACCTAAAGCAGAAATATGCACGTTCAACATACTAATTAAGGGATCTCTCTTTCAGGAGGATATTACAATTCTAAATGTTTACTCGCCAAACAATGGAGCACCCAAATTTATCCAAGAAACACTATTTTCCCTCAAATCCCATATAAATCCAAAGACATTAATTGTTGGAGATTTTAACACACCACTCTCCCCACTAGATAGATCAACTCGGCAAAAACTCAACAGAGAAACCGCAGATCTAAACAGCTGCATAGATCAACTAGATTTAACAGATATCTACCGAATATTTCATCCAGCAATATCAGAATACACGTTTTTCTCAGCAGCACATGGAACATTTTCAAAATAGACCACATTTTAGGCCACAAAGTAGACTTATCTAAATTCAGAAACATTGAAGTTATACCTTGCATTCTCTCTGACCACAAGGGAATAAAATTAGAACTCAACACCAAAAGCCACGAAAGAAAGTCCGGTATCACATGGAG